CTGATTCATTTTGGTCTCTGGTCCCCGAGACATGTGAAGGATGGCATGCAGGCGGGGCTAGGGGCCCCAGGGGGGAGGTTTGGGGAGGGACACTACGGTGAGGGGCCAGGACCATGTGCCCCACTGTTGATGGGTCATTGGTGCCAGTTGCTTGGGAAGGGAATGTGGCCCTGGGTGAGGCAGTTCCCACAGGGCTGGCAGCTGAGGCTGGGGACTCCCAGCGGCTGGTGGGGGGACAGGCTCGTCATTCCTGAGGGGGGATCTTTTTGGCAACGGAGTGGGTGGTGGCCTGCAGACATCCTCTGTCCTGCGCTTGCTCAGGGTCAGCACACTTTGGGGGGGTAGCCAGCCCCTCTTGGGACAGGGACATGAGGAGCCCACGGGGCTGGGTCAGAGTCCCGTGCTGTCGAGCCCCCAGCCGGCCCATCCGTGCGGTGCTCTGCAAGGGCCTGGACCCCTCCAGCACTCGGGGAGCCTGTGCTCGCTGCTTCCAGCTGACAAAGGTGCCTCACATCTGTCCTTGAGTGCAATGACGGGACGTGATTCCCGTTTACAGGGCAGCCACTGAGTGCCCGGCACTTCCCCTCCGTGATCTGTCATTACCGCAGCAAGCAAGCAGGGCAGGTGTCATTATCCCCCCTTACAAAGGGGCAACTACGGCTCAGAGAAGGTACATCGACCCAGGGTCACACAGCTGTTAACAGCAGGGCTGGGGGCAGGATTAACCCCAGATGCAGGCAGGGGCTGCCTTGGTCCTGAGCTTCCGAGAGCCCAGCTGCACCCGAGTCCCGGCCTGCGTGGGCCCCTTGCCGGGTTCCTGCTTCTGCATACCGACCACGCCGCTGCACTCGCAGCCCAGGCCCGGGGGAGGCCGGGGCATGTTGTCCACAGGGGCTGTGGACAGAGCTCACACGTGGGTGGAAGAGTCCACATACATGTGCAAAAGGCTCTTGCATGACTGGGTGGATCGGAGAGGGGAAGGGAGGAGCAGGGCAAGTGGGGCACCCCTGTGCCACCACCTCCCTACCCAGAGCCCCAAGAGCTGAGAATTCCAAGCTTGAACTTGACAATAGACCCCTTACAAAGGTCTCTTTGTCAAAGTGGGTTGATGGGATGTTCCATTGCACAGTTGTGGCTTGATTTGTCATCTTTAAATATGCCGACGTGCGAGCAGTCTGCCTCCCGACTCAGGTCCCAGCCTCCCATGCACTCTGCTGTCTGCTGCGCTATTGGGGTGCCCTGGGGTGTGGAGGGAGGAGGGACAAACCTGGCCTCCCTAGCTGGGGACCAAGGTTTTCTTGGGACTCTGGCAAAAGCCACAAGCAGTGACAACCTATAGCTGCACTGTGGGCACTAAGGGAATAGTTACGTGGATTTTCCTTTCTTGGGTATTTTAGGGTGTGGCCAGAATGCTCAGGTTAAGGAATCCCTCAACAGGCTGGGCAGCTGGTCCTGCTAGGTGTTGGGGGACCCTCTCTCCTACCTGCAGTCCCCTCTGTGACCACACTCCCTCCACCTCCCTGCAATTCCCCATGGGGGCGTGGGGGTGTGGGGGAGCCCACCCCTCAGTGAACCACCCCCCCTAGGTGTTTCCTCCCTCTTCCTGAGGTCCCCCTCACCGCCAGGGCTGCCCCAGCACATTCCACTCTGAGCTCACTGACCCCTGGGCTTCTCCTCCTGGGGACTTGGCGTTTGCACGGAGGATTCCAGACCCTTCTGTGACGGGTAGAGTTTCTCTCTGGCGGTGGGATGGCAGGCAGTGGAGGCGATGGTTCAGACGCTTTCCTTACTACATTCATCCAGAGGCCACTGGTTATTGTCTTTTTCACAGTTGACAAATCTTTTCCTCCTGTGGTTGTGTGAGTGTGTCAATGTGCAAGATCATGTGTGTATCTTTGCATGAGGAAGCACAGGTGTGCGTGCATGTGTTTTTGGAGTCTCGCAGGGAAGGTGCCCCGCACAAGATATGTCTCGCCTGTGTTTTTCCAGGTCTGGCCCCATCAGCCCAGCAGCTCGACAGCCAGAACATTCCAGAGCCAAGACAGGATTCTGGGCTTGTGGGCACTGAGACCCTGTGTGCGCTGATTGCAGCTAGTGCCACCACACATGGCAATGTGGCAGGATGTGGCAGGATGTGGCAGTTACGAGCCTTGCTGGGCAGTAACTTCTAGGGGGTTTGCAAACAGCCTCAGTTTCCAAGGAGCCGCTGCAAGGCTGTTTTTAATGTGCCATCACAGCCGGGGGACATCTGTCACCCTTGAAGCCCCCAGCCCCCCTTTCTGACTCTTCAGCCCTGCCCTGGTTTCCTTCTGCAGGGGGCTTTGCGCAAGCCAGCAATCCTCTCGTAGAATAAGGCCCTGGCCGTGGGCAGCTCTCTGTGTTTCATTCATACTCAGCCATTTGACCAATCTTGATCCGTTTTCACCTGGATGAAGCCTTGGCTTGGCCCACATTTAACACACTCCTAGACAAGAGCTGCACCACTTTCCTTCCTCGTGCTATTTGCTGTGACTCCCGGCCAGCAGAGGAGAGATGAATGTCAAACGGGCAGTCTACCTCGACATTGGCAGAGCCACCCAAGTTTGGAGTTGGGGAAACTGGCCAAAGTGAGTGGCTGGGTTGACCCGCTGATGTTGCCCTCTCCCTTCCTTGGGTGTGTAGAAAAGGAAATTGAGTTGTCAGCGGCCATCTACAGGGCCAAGGTCTGAGCCGTGACTCCTGGCTTTTTCCTTCCGCCACTGACTTCAGTCTCCAGGCCTACTAAACACTTTGACACATCTGTCCACCCGCTCCCTTCCCCAGCCCTGGCTCTAAACCCACAAGGGGAGTAGCAGTTGGCATACTCCCTGGTCTGGGCAAGCAAGTTGATCTTTTTAAGCCTTAGTTTTCTTGTCCATAAAATGGGATTAGTGGTAATTGTCTCTCAGGGCAGTATTAAGTGAATACTCGTGTAAAAACTTGTGTGTGGCGTGGCATACAATAGGTGCTCAATAAATGGTACTTGTTGCTTCCACCAACCCCACTGCCAACCTCCAACAGCTGCAGCGGCGACACTGTCCTGTTGGCAGTGTAGACAGGCATGGGGCCCTGTGCCAGACCAGCCCTCTCTATGCGGGAGACAGAGAAGAGTGGAGAATGAAAGGAGGAAACGAGGAGGGAGAGAAATGGCTCATGGCCACTTCTAGAAGCCCAGCCTGGAGCAGGAGCTGGAGCCTTGGAGCAGCCTATGACAACAGACAAGGTGGCTCACCTGGTCCCAGATCTCAGTCCCAGAACAACCACCCTCTGACCCTATTCAGACTCATGTCCTTCATTTTGGCTAGAATGTTCTAGAATCTACAGGGTTTGTTGGGAACAGCTCTGGAGCTTTGCAGCCAGAAAGACCTAGGTCCAAATCCCAGATGCATCACTTACAAGCCTGGTGAGTTTGGTCAAGTCACTTAATTTCTCCAAGCCTCAGTTTCTTCCTCTGAAAAGTAGGTATAGCAGTTGCTACCTCAGAGGCTTCCTGGGCAGTATAAATGGATCATAGATGCCTAGTGCCCAGTGTGCTGCTTGATACATAGGAGGTTCATGTCCCAGTAGTTTCCCTACCTCCCACCCCACTGGCCCATCTTGTGCTCAGAAGGGTTCGAGTCTCCCAGCGCCGGGCCGACACTTCATGCTTTGTCCTTAAGAGCCCCGGGCTTCCTGAGAAGTCCTGAGATGAAGATAGAGACTGAATCTGAGTAGCTGAGTGAGTCTGACCCTCGGTGCCATGTGACTTTGCCACAGTTCTTTGCTAGCTTGGAGCCTTGGTGTCCACATCTGTAAAATGGAGATAGCAATCATGTTCGCATTTTAGGGTCGTGAAGATTGAATGAGATGCATGAAGAGTGGCACACAGGAGGGGCTCAGCAAGTGTAGCTGCTGGTATCTGTTGTGAATACTGCTAATGTTACCCTTGTTAAGCAATTCCCACTTTCTTAGTTTCTTAGAGAGTGTTTGGTTTCCACGGCTACAGCATCTCAGCCAAAGGCCGATGGCAGGAGGAGTCTGGCTCCGGCCCGGCCACCTCTGGCTGCATCTAGAAAGGAGCTGGCATTTTGCATTGGTCACGCCTGCAGCCTGGGCTGCCGTGGCATGTGTCCCAGTGAGTCACCTCGTGGCGTCAGAGCTGCCAGGGCACACGGAGAATGGTCTCTGGGATGCAGATGCATCCAGTTCCACCAGGAATTGTCCAGGGATTAGCTGCCGCCTGTGGCCTGGGCGTCCCCTCAAATTTCCGGGGTGCTCTGGGTGGGCGTCTCCCTGGTCAGACTCGAGCCTCCGGCCCCTTCGTTCCAGAGTTTATCTTCAGCCATCTGTCGCATGGTGAACCTGCCAGGCTGCAAGATCCGAATGCGAGTCCCGCTCCTGTCATTGACCAGCGGTGCGCACGGGGACAATTCGAGTCCCTTCTCTGCCCCTTAGCTTCCCCCCAGGGGACATCATGACCCTGACTGCTTATTATGTTTGCAGACTCTTGTGAGACTCTCCAAGGATCCAGTGAGATCATGTTTGGGGAAGCCACACGTGACCCTCAAATATCGATAGGAACAAAATTAGAAACTCAGTCCTATGTAACTTTAGGCATTGTCACCCCCTCCCTGGTTTTGATTTTCTTGCCTGTAAAAGGAAGGGTTTGGGTTAGACTGGCATTGCTAGAGTGGTGACTCATGAAAGAAAAGGTTCCATGTTTAAATAAATTCGGTAAAGGCTACAAACCAACCTCTCTAGCTTTGTTTAACCCATATGATATTGTGCCGCTAATGTGACCACAGAACATCATTATTATTACTACTACACTCATTGCTACCGTTAGGGTTACTTGTATTAATTGCTCTGCATAACTCTATTTACCTGCCCCCAAACACCCTTGGGAAACAGCCAGGTGAGAAGATGACTCAGCGCAGACTCTGGTCCAAGTGCTCTGAGGGCCAGGGGTCCAGCGGGTCACACTCTGCCTCTGTGTCCTCCAGGTGCCTTCCTGATCCCCTACACCCTGTTCCTCATCATCGCAGGGATGCCCCTGTTCTACATGGAGCTGGCGCTGGGACAGTACAACCGGGAAGGGGCAGCCACCGTGTGGAAGATCTGCCCATTCTTCAAAGGTAAAAACAGGCCAGGGAGAAGTCAATGGTTGCTCAAAAAGGCCTCCCTGTTGGCCATGGGGAATCGGCTCCAAAGGTGAGATCTGAGATCGACCTCCTCCCTTATGGGATTCTGATACTGACAATATCAAGATATTGACAAGGTCAAGAGTGTCTACATCCAAAGTTACACGGAGAACATTTGGTATGCCAGGAGTAGCATTAGCATACAGAGTCTGGAAACCTGGGTTCCAGTCCAGGCTATACCAGCTGAATGACCAGAGTCTGTTTTCCTATATGGGAAATTCTTACAAAAGTGTCAGAAGTACCCAGCACATATATCACTACTCTCCGTTCTTGCTCCCCTGGCAGACATGATAAATTGATCATGGATCTTTATGAGCTCAGCCAGAAAGCAGACTCGTGATCCTTAATACAACAGCCACAACTAATCGATTGCAGCTCAGATATAAGTTGGAGACTACTTGCATTTTGGACTAAGAGCACATCTGCAGAGAGTAGCTATAACAGCTCCCGTTTCTTGGTCCCTATGGAGCTGGGAGAAGGGCGTGGAGTAGGAGGTAGTCTCTGTCAAGCACTGGTTAGAGCATTGGGCCTACATGGTGATAAGGGCCAGGGTGACTCCCATGAGCCTCTGCTCAGCTGGCAGGTGTATCCTGAGTACCTCCTGTGTAATCAGTCCCGTGGGAGATACAAGCTGATATCTTGTAAGACATGTACTGGATAAGATTTTCTATTCTTTAATTGTCAGAACCCAACTCAAACTGGCTTTAATATTAACATAAAAGGGAATTTATTGGCTTATGTTATGGTAAAGTTCAGTGGCTCTAGCTTCAGGTATAGCTAGATCCAGGTGCCCAAATAGTGTTTCCTGGGATCTATCTCTCTGTGTCTCAAGTCTATTTCTTCTGTGTTAGCATCAATTTCATGTACATTCTTCTCTAGTGCTTGTAAAGGTGGCCATCAGCAACTCTAGGCTGAAATTCTACCAAGTTTAACAGTGACCAAAAGCAAAAGCACAAACAAATAAACAAAAACCTTATATATTCCTCACTTCACTAAAGGTCCCAGAGAAGATTTTCATTGGTTTGACTTGAGTCACATGCACATCTATTAACCAATCACTATGGCTGTGGGGAAGTACTACTCTGATTGGCCAGGCCTGAATCATGTGATCAAGGAAGATGGGGGAATTAGCTTCATCCAAACCTCACAGGCTAAGAACTGCTTAAGGCTAATCCCTTAAAGCAATACTTGGCAGGCAAAATAATATGTCTGTGTCTACTCTAGGCAAAAACCATAGAACTAGCCCTAAAGGAGCTTCTGATGCCTTCAGGAAGGTGACATTGGCCCACAGCAGGTGGCTGACAGCAGGGCCCAGGGAACACGCTGGGCTGAAGTTCTGATAGGGGAGTGCTTGGCTGGGGTTCCCTGGGAACCAGATCCTGAGACAAGGATTTGAGTGCAAGGAGTTGTTTGGGAGGGGGTCCCAGAGAGCAGCAGTTGGAGGCAGGGAGAGGTGGCAGCCTGCAGAGCGTGTGTTGTCAGATCAGTTCCTCCAGGGTGAGGAGCTCAGTGCCCTGGCGGAGAGTGTGCAACGTGCCTTGGAGTTATCCTGCCTTAGGACGAGGCAGCTGGGGTACTTACCCCAACTCCCTGACACAGCTGCCCCCTGGGGACATTACGTCACCTTTCAGATGAGCAGTGGGGGCTCCAGCGAGAAGAGAGAGCCCTTATGCAAAGGGATGGTGGGTGCCTACCCAATGTGGGTGGGGCTCTGACAATCTGCTACAGAGGAAGAGAAGCAGGGGGTCGGGGTGCAGCAGTTGGAGCCGGCTCCCCAGGAGAGGTAGCTCTGGGGTCGGGCCCCGGGAAGCCGCTGGGTGACTCCTCTGTCCCCACCCAGGAGTCGGCTACGCTGTGATCCTGATCGCCATCTACGTCGGCTTCTACTACAACGTCATCATTGCCTGGTCGCTCTACTACCTCTTCTCCTCTTTCACCCTCAACCTGCCCTGGACTGACTGTGGCCATCCCTGGAACAGCCCCAACTGCACCGACCCCAAGCTCCTCAACGGCTCCGTGCTGGGCAACCACACCAAGTACTCCAAGTACAAGTTCACGCCGGCAGCAGAGTTTTACGAGTAAGTCACGGACCCCTCATCCTGGGCCCCTCGAGGCCTGTGCTGGGCGTGAGCTGAGCCAAACACTAGGGAAAACCACAAAGAGATGGAGGGGACAAATGCCAGTCAGGGTGCTAATGTTCACGAGACAGCCACAGGCCTGGCGCTGGGCTAGGAGCTGAGGACACAGCCCGGGACCAGGTAGTTGGAGCAGCTCGTGCTCTGGGGCAGGAGGGTGGAGGCAGGGAGTTAATGCACAAGCAAACACACAAAGAAGCCACCAGACTTTGGAGTGTGCCCTGCAGGGGACATAACGCATTTTGGAGAGTGCAATTGCTCGTGAGGCACTGAAGCCGGGTATGTGGGAGAAATGGATTGTGGAGGGGAAGGAACTTTGTCTCAGTGGTCAGGGAAGGCCTCTCTGAGGAGGTGACATAGGAATGAATGAAGTCACTGCAGGGAACATCTCGGGGTTCAGCGGCAGGTGAGGAGCTGCAGTTTGAACCCGAGTCGACGTGATCCTGAAGCCGTCCTCTGACCCACCCTGGGCTGCTATCTCTCTAAGACTTCCACGGGGAAAGTAGACAGAGCTTTCACTCAGAGTATGAGTGAAATTCAACAAGTGGGAAGTGGCCACATGCAGCTTCGGGAAGTTATCTGGACAATGGGTGCGTGAGAGGCACTTACCAGTGGTAGCAGACAGACATTGTTTTTAAAAAAAGAAGAAGAAACTTCTATGTAGAAATAATTTTATGCATAGAAAAGTTGTAAAAATAATATATACTCGTCACCCAACTTTATCTTCTATAACCATGGTACGCTTGTGAAACCAGAAAACTAACATTATTATACTCTCGGCTAATCTACTACAGACCTTATTTGAATTTCTCCAGTTTTCCCACCAATGTTCTTTTCTGGTATTTAGTTGTCAGGTCTCGCTCCTCTGTCTTCTCAATCCGTGAGAGTTCTTTGGTCTTTCCTTGAGTTTCATGACCTTGACACTTTTGAAGAAGATTATTGGCCAGTTATTCCCTGACATATCTCTCAATTTGGCTTTGTTTGTTGTTTTCTCACAATTAGACCGAGGTCATGCATTTTGGGCAAGAATGCCATAGACACGGTGCTACGGCTTTCTCAGTGCATCCTATAGGGGGCGCGATGTCAATCTTATGTATTACTTGTGATATTAACCTTGAATGCTTGGCTAAGTTGGAGCCTGCCAGTTTCCCCCTGTGGAGAGAAAGTATTTTTCCTTTTGTAATGAATAAGTGTTTATTGAGGAGATACCTTGAGGTTGTATAAATATCTTCATTCTCATTATACTTTTGCACAAACCTAACAACCAAGGGGGAATCCTGCAAAAAATAATAAGAAAAGGGTTGGCCAAATGGGAATTTCCAATTTCCATCATTCCTTCTAAATTAATTAACTGGAATTCTTCTTTCCCCCTATTTATTTATTCAATTATTCATTTATATCAGTATGGGCTCAGGGATATTTATTTTATTCGGTGCTCTTAATCCATAACCATTGTTGTTTAATCTGTTGCTCCCCTGAATCTTCTCAGCCTTTTAAGTCCTTGAGCAGGTGACAGCCACCTAATTCAAAATGTCTATATGATGCTGTCTTCAGAACGTAGCATCTACTGCCTTCATCTCTCAGGCGTGGGCGGGTGCCATTTTAGCAATCCCTACACAAGTGTTAGCAGTTAAGCAGAAAAGACATGTTACAAGCTGTGGGGCAAGCCAGGTAGATCCCACCTGAACCCCACCCTTAAGGTACATGTGGTCTAGGGCAGAGGTCCCCAAATTTCTCTGCAAAAGACCAGAGAGTAAATATTTTGGGCTTTGCGGGCCACATATGTCCCTGTTGCATGTTTTTCTTTGTTTTATTTTACCCTTTACAAAGGCAAAAGCCATTCTTAGATCACAGGTCATTACTAAACAGGCCACAGCTTGGATTTGTCCCTGGAGCCATGATTTGCTGATTCCTGGTCTAGAGCAAGGATTCCCAGTAAAACTTCCCACAATGGTAGAAATGTTCTAAGTCCATGTGGTCCAACGCAGTCACCACCCACATGTGGTTACTGAGCAATTGACATATGACCAGTGTGATTCAGGAGCTGAACTTTTGATTTTATTTAATTTAAATGTATTTGCCTTTAAGTAGCCACATGTGGCCAATGCGGATCTAGGATGGGATACAAGACAAATATGCAAACAACAAAACTTCAGGGTTACTCTCCTTCAGTCCTGTCGATTCCCAGAGCCAAGTTGCTGGGCATGAGTCCCTATTATCTGGAGACTGGGGTTATCCCAGGACCATTGCCACCCCGCCATCTTGGTGCAGTGGGGTCAAGGAGATTTGGTTTGGTTGAAAGTGACCTTTGGAAAGTCTACTGCCTCCTGGGGCTCAGGGGAGTCACTGTCCCCAAGGCCCAGGGACTCCTTCAGTGGACCATCACAGAGCATTTGCTAAAAGTCCTGTAGCTGCATCCACCTGCCTGCATCTGTCATCCCCATGGACTTCCAGCAGGCACGTGCAAAATTATGCATGTGAGGCTTTGTGCTAACTTCTTAGTGTGTATTATCTCAGGCTAAGCCTCGAACCCACCTAATGAGGTTTCTGTAACTCTTATCTTTATTCCACACTTGTGGAAGCTTCATTTTGCAAATGAGACAGCAAACCCCACAACCATGCAACTATTACTGTGTAGAGCCAGCATTGGGACACAGGCAGCTTGCACTTGCAAGACCCTGTGAGTGAGCACCTCCTTATATTTTGCACCCTAAGAGCTTAAGTCTCCTAGCTCTAACCCCAGCCTTGCCTGGCAGGGAAACTCTAGAGCCTGCACCCTTAACCTTTGTGATCCATCGGACATTAGCCATTATACCTGGTTGTTATTACTCAGAAATATTGTTACAGTCACAGCTCACCTTCTCCCAGCTTAGACTGTGTCCCAGCTATCATGCAAGGTGCCTTTTCTATAGTAGCTTTTAATGCTGATCATGGTGGTCTAAAATTATTATTTTATGAAGGAGGAAACAGGCACAAAGCAGTAAGTGACTTGTTCAAGATCGTATAGTTTAGAAGTGGCATTTGAAGAGGGTTTGGACACAGGCAGTCTGGCTCCAAGACCCCAGCTCTTAGCCCAGGGGTTCTAAACCTTGGCTCCACATCGGAATCTCTGGGAGAGATTTAACACACACTGATGCCTAGATTCCATGTCTAGGGATTTCGATTTCACTGGCCTGGGTGCAGCCAGGGTGCAGAGATTTTCGTCAACAGCTCTTTCTGCAATTCTAATATCCAGCCAGTGTTGGGAGCCCCTTTTTTAGCCACTGCACTATCTTGTCTCAGAATCAGATTGCTGCAAGGGTCAGGCTGACATCTCTACAGTCTCATGTCATGAAAAATCTAGGGCCTCCTTCATGCTTCTCCCCAGGAGCATGACTTCAGAAAATCGCAGAGCTGGTGCAGATGCTGTGGGTGGAGGTTTTGGGCCTTCCTATTTTATGGGTGTGGTTTGGAGGGGGTGCTGGCGAAGAGTACTGGGCAGAGAGTTGCCAGTACACGGCATTGGTTGCATGCACCCCCCTGATCCTCTCGTGCAGGGAAAAGCATAATTTTTCTTTTTGCTCTTGGCAACCCTTGTTCTTCTAAATTGAAATGGAAAAGGATAGCTTCGTCTCTAGTCTAGCTGGTATTTGATTCCTCCTCTGATGTCTTAATGACCAGCATGTCTGCCCCAACAGAGACTGCCAGCAGGAGGGAGAGGCGAGATGGGTTTTGAGACCCATCTTTAATTACAACCCTAAAGTTCCTCCAGGCTCAGCTGTGAGCAGAACGTGGTGGAATAAGATGACATTCTTGTGCACGCTTGGGGATATAAGGGGAACAGAATGCAGGCCTTATTTCAGTAATTTTCAGCCCTATAGACCTCCCCTTCCTCCCCTTCCTCCCCTTCCCTGCAGACCTTCATAGCTGCCATGAGCCAAGTACTGAATATCTTTTCATATCCAAATTCCCGTTTGACCTTCACAGTTCATGGAGGTGGGAATTATTCCCATTTTACAGATAGGAAAGTGGAGGCTTAGGTTTTAGGTAACGGGTGGAGCTGGGATCTGAACCCAGGTTCCTTGATTGAAGGATTGTCTCCTGACTTTCTTCTCTGTCCTGTTAGGGTCTCCGATGGGGGTGTGTTCCGGACCCCCTGCAGGTAGACAGGAGCCCTTCCTCTGTGTCCCTTTCTCACCTCCAGCCTGCCTCTATTCTGTGCATTATAGAGCACTAAATCATGGGCTGCCTCTGGACCCTTTCTTTATGGCATGTGGCCCTTTTGTCTAAATGTTTCTGCTAAAACGGTTACCCCAACTCAGTCTGGAGCCCCAGTAAGTAGGACTCCCAGTGCCCTGAGGAGGCCAGATGATTTTGTCTGTTTCCCCAAACCTCCTGGCCAATTGTCTCACCATCTTGTACTCATTTAAGCCAAGGGACTGAGCATATCATTCAAGGGAACAAAACTGCTATTCTCGCCGGGCCTGAAGCCAAACAGCCCCGCAGCTAAAGAAACTCCAAGCTCTGTGACTTTGCCTGTAAAAGGGCACCTTTGGTGATCGTGCGCCTGGCAGGAGAAAACTTCTACCCATGCCAGTTCCTGGGGAGGAACAGAAGTCTCCCTCCACCCTGGTATTAATCCTCCGTGTTTAAATGTCAAGTGAAAAATTGAGCCTTTTTGGCCCATAGACTTCGGAAAGCCTGGACGGTATACTTGACAATGATTCATTTTTATTAAACTGTTGGAAAACTAAAACAAACCCAAGTTACTTGTGCTAACCCCCCAGGCGTGGGCCCGCTGGGGAGAGGAGGCTGGATTCTCAGTCCTTTTCTTGGGAACAAGCTCTTTTCACTGATGAACGTGGACTCAAGATGCACGTGGGGTCAGCTGAGCCCGTTAGGGGATATTTTGGCCACCTGGTTGGACCCTGGAGGAGGCATTTTAGCAAGTTTCAGGGTGAGCACATGAAACTTTTTTCAGCGACCTTGTCGCTCTCTTGCCTGTACATCCTCAGGTGGCTCGTCCTGCAGTAGCACAGAAGTAGACTTAAGGCGGTCACCAGGACGCAGAGGGACCAGGCTTGGGGGACGGGTGGGGGACACTTACAATCGTCCTGGAGGGAGAGGAGTGGGTCTTGCCGAGACGGGCCAGTGAGGGTGGGGGTGGGGCAGACCAAGAGACAAGGTCAGGAGGGGCCAGGTGTGGCCACTGATGGCACGGGGAAGATGGCGTGGGGTGATCGCTTAAGGCCACAACAGCTGGCCTGGGAGCTGCGGGGATGGGCCGCTCTGGGGAAGGAGCATGGGTCTTGGGGACCTTGGTCACCCACACAGCTCTGCTCGTTTGTTCGCACCTGCTCACCTCCCCCCTCCCAGCCCTCCCTCTGCACACCTGTGCACCTCCCGTCAACTCGCCGTTCTCTCAGCCCCCGACAGCAGAGAAAGCACTCGCCACCTCCGCACTGGAGCCCCCCAGCGACTCCCCCTGCCCAGTTTCCTGGGCCCTCCCCAGCTCCCCTGCAGACACCTGCTGCTCCTTAGGACCAACCACACCGAGCTGTGGTTGCCATTTGTTGAGCATGTCCTCGTTCAGGATATTGTCTCACATTCGACAACTTAATCCTCCTCAGAGAGATTTTACTGAAGAGAACAAAGGCTCAGAGATGACGATGCTCACACTAGATGTTGTCCCCTTGCCGGCGAGCTCCAGTGGGCTGGAGCCATCACCTGCGTGGCCACAGCCATGTCACCAGCTTCCGGCACACTGCCCGGCTCAGAGCAGAGGTGCAGAAGGAGTTTAGAATCAGTGTAGAAGGTGTAGAATCAGGGAAAACATTCCGGTCACACAGGAGCTGGTGGCAGGGCCAGGATGGGAGCCCAGGCATGTCTGAGCCCAGAGCCGGGGCAATTTCTGGGCCACATTTTTCTGTTTGCCTTCATGTCCTTGCAAATGGCAGGCATCTATTTTGAATGGATGAATGAATAAATGACTGAGTGAATAAAATAGCATCGGTGGTGGCTTCTGGTCTTTCTTTCATGTGCCCAGAAGCAAATTTCAGTTTCTACCCGAGGATAAGCTAAGTAAGTTTCCAGACTTGGGGTTATGCCTACAAGCCTGGAATCTTCCCAAGTCTTTCACGTTGCTTCCAGCTAAGGCTGAGCACCTCTGGCAGACAGGTGATCGACTATCTTATCCATTGCAGGTATATAAAGTTTTGCCATCAATGTAAGCGTTGGGATTAAAGCCCCTCTCCAGGAAAGGACAACATATTAAGCTACTGCCTGCCTGTAACACTTTAGTATGAATTTATTAATCAGATGCTTTCCAAATGGACCCCTGGGTGAGAGCAAATGCCTATAGAATGAGACACAGGCAAGTTAAGTTTCGACATGGGGAACCATGTGGTTGTCCTGGGCAGTATGAAAGAACTGGAAGGAAGGGTTAGGAATTTGCCACAAGTAAGGGGAGGAGAAAAAGTGAGAAGAGAAGTGAGAATATATGGGAGAATGACCATCTTTCCTTCCTACTTCTCCTTGGGTTGGTCCTGGGATCTCATTTTCTATAGAAGATGGATTGTCAGGTTTAGCAAGAAAGGTTGGTTCCTAATCCAGTAATCTAATATGAGCCATCGGGTCTAACTGCCAGTCCTGGGCTCAGCACCGGGACCCAGGATGGGGCGGTCCCCTCATCCCGGGAGAGCCTCCTGTACAGGCAGCCCCGACGTCACAGGAGCTGCGCCTGCCAGCAAATGAGCCAGGAGTCACAGGGACTGGAAGGGTTAAAAGGTTACCATTGGGGTGATCAGGGGGCCTCCCAGGGGAGGTGGCATTGGAGCTGGGCTTCTAAGGACACCGGGAAGTTTGATGCCAACTGCAGCCCCTGAGTGAGAGGCACAGAGGAGGGCCCAGTGGGGGGGATTCGTTCTGGGGACCATTCAGCTCCCTCGACCCTCCCAACATGCATCATGCTTTATTGTGAGTTTGCATTTAATGCTGCCTGCTGTGCTAGACTATAAGCCCACCAAGGCAGGGACTGTGTACGAGCAGTTCCCTGTGTGTGTGTCCCAGGCCCAGGTGGGCGCTCACAGCAGGACTCAGCGAGAACCGAATGATTCGGGTGCGGAGCGAACGCCGTACCAAGCTGTTCCCGGTTCTGGTTGCTTTGCCTTGCAAAGCTGCAGAGCAGCTGGAGGAACCTCTCTCACCCAGGACCGGCTCCACCAACGGGTCTTGTTCAACCTTTGCTTAGATCCTAACTGAATTTGGTTAGATTCCAATTAGCAAACGGTCATTTTGTTTGCAATTCTATGTACCATTCCTTCATTGTAGGTTGTATGAGGGGACCCAGAAAGTCTGAAACCTTAGGCCTGTTTATTGTTTGATTGTCTTACTGAAAATAAAAACACTCATGGAAGGCTAACACAGTCAGGGGAGTGAATACCATTGAGCGACAGCTCAATGAATGTCACAGATTGAACATGGTCATGTGATCAGCACCCCAGTGGGGAAGCAGCCCCAGCTCCACCCCAACCCAGGGGGTGACGCCAGCCCCTAAAGTTAGTTGTGCCTGTTGACATGTACGTGAACAGAATCAGGCAGGCAGAAGTGCTCTTCTGTGACTGCTTTCTCGCATTGTGTGTGAGAGCCATCCACATGGCGGTAGTTGCTGTATGATACTCCATGTTATGAATATATCACCATGTATCCATTCTATTTTTGATGAATGTTTGAGTAGTTTGCCGTTGGGGGTTATTATGAATAACGATGCCATGAACATTCTAGAACATGTCTTATGGTGAACATATGTATTAATACAAATCGCTACTGGGTAAACACCCAGGAAATGCATACCTTTAGCTTTAGCAGATATTCCCAGACAAGAGAACTGTTTTCTCAGGTTCTGGACCAAGGATTCTCCGCTTTGGCAAAAGGGACATTTTGGACAGGGTGATTTTTTGTTATTGGAGACTGTCCTGTGTCCTGTAGGGTGTTTAGCAGCATCTGTGGTCCCTATCCTCTAGAGACAGGGGGAGGGGGGCCCCAACTCCCCACAAGTCATGACAATAAAAAAATATCTCAGACATTGCCAAATATCTTTTAGGGTGCAAAATTACCACACCCTAGAATGTGAGCTCTATTAGGCAGGAACCTTCCCTATTTATACCCCAGGGTCAGTAGGCACTTAGAGATTTTTTTTTCTTTTTTTTTTTAGACACGAGGCCTTACTCTTGCCCAGGCTGGCGTGCAGTGGTGTGAACTTAGCTCACTGCAACCTTGAACTCCTGGACTTGAGTAATCCTCCCACTTCAGCCTCCCAACTAGCTGGGACTACAGGCACGTGCCACCAAGCCTGGCCCAATTTTTGTCTTTTAAAAGCAGACTTGAGCTCAGACTCTCCTCAGAGGATTTGCTGCTCCGGGGCAGAGCTGGCCATGGCTGGGCAGGGCGGGCCCACCTGATGCACAGCGTTGGCCGGGGCCCCAGAGCTGGGGGAGAGCGGCTGGGTCCTGCTCCATCGGTGTGCACTTGTGGGGACCGGCCAGGGGCCACGACCTTGGCCATCCTCCCTGACACCGTCTTCCCCGGCCCCCCCCCTCCCCGGGCAGGCGTGGCGTCCTGCACCTGCACGAGAGCAGCGGCATCCACGACATCGGCCTGCCCCAGTGGCAGCTCCTGCTCTGCCTGTTGGTTGTCGTCGTCGTCCTGTACTTTAGCCTCTGGAAAGGAGTGAAGACGTCAGGAAAGGTAATCTCTGTTTCGCTTTCAGTTGGAAGGTTGGCCTTGACCAAAAAAAAAAAAAAAAAGTTTTTTTCCAGCTATTTATGTAGTTGGTGAAAAGAAAAGGTGGGACTGGAAGTGCAAAGTTTGGGTTCAAGCCCCAGCGCTGCCACTGACTTGGACAAATCCCTCCCCCTCCCAAAGCCGGTGTCCCCCCTGGCAGGAAGGTAAGATCAGAGTTCCTCGTGCTCTCCTGCCAAAGCCTCCCCAACAGCAGAGACCAGGCGCTGGGGTACCCGCAAGGGCCTCCAGACAAAGCCTAAAGCAACTATTGACATGTCTTTGATAAATCTTGGGTTCTGACATAAAATTTCATTCAAATGTTGCATTTGCTTTACTATAAAATCTATACCCTCACCCCCCAAATTTTTGAGTAAGAGAATGCTCTAGAAGATATCCAGATGTATGCTGGGCTTTGTGTTTCCTCTGACATCGTGCCGAGTGTCCCCAAGGGTCTAGGTGTCTTGGAGAGGGCAGCACAGGATTAGGAACCAGTGGGGGCCAGTCTGGAGCTGGTGTTCTGAATGTGAGTGACACTGTTCCCTGCTGTCAGCCTCTTAGGGGTGGGGCACACTCAGGAAATGGCTCGTGTTCATTCTTAGCCTGAGGAACATTATGGGAACAACAAGCCCATTTGGGCCCCACAGGTCTATGTAGAGCATGACTGTTAAAGAGGGTGTAGCTGGGAAGTGTCCTCAATGTTTTGGCTAGCTAAGGCTATGTCACAAATCACTCGAAAATGTAGTGACTTAAGAGAACAACCATTTTATTATCTCTCATGATTCTGTGGATTGACTGGGATCAGCTGGGTGGTTATTCTGCTCCATGTGATATTCCCTGGGCTACATATCTGGGGTCTCGACTGGGCTAGAACATCCTAGATGGTGCATACACATTTCTGGCAGTTGGTACTGGCTGGAAGCTAAATTGGAGCTGTCAACTGGAGCACCTTGGGTGGTTTCCACATAGCCTTTCCATGCTGCTTGGGCTTCTCACAGCATGCCAGCTGAGTTCCAAGAGCGTGTTCCAAGCAGACAAGCCCCAATGTGCAAGTTGCTCTTCCAGTCTCTGCTTGCATTGTGCTTGTCCCAATGCTCGCAACAAGTCTTACAGTAAAGCCCAGAGTCCATGTGGGAGGGGACTACACACAGGTGTGAATTCACTGGGGGTTGTGAGGCAATAGTCTACCATAATCAAGTAGGCATGAATTTGGAAGAAGCTTCATTAGGCAACTAATTTTGGAAAAGAGGGTGCAGGAGGGTTCTCTCTGATACTCTTAGAGTTCTTGGTCATGCCACCGAGAGCAAAGATGGCGGCAGGGGTCAAGCAGCCAGTGGGGATGACATTTGTCAAGAACTGGAGGTGGAACTTCCTATCGTCATTCTGGAGACACAGTCCCTGGGAAGGACCCAAACAAAATGCAGACGGGGCTGAGAGGAATTCTGGGGCAGAGCAAAACCAGACTAGGACCACTATCATTTGGATGCCTGGCACATCCAAATATCTTCAGTAAATACTTATTGAAAGATTGAAGAGTGAGTGGGTAAATAAGTTTAGGAAACTTCATTAAATGTTTTTTTGGATTCAGCTCAAAATTATAAGCATTTATGGACACCTACTATGTATCAGACCTGATGTTAGTATGAATGATGCAAGAATAAATAAGACAGATTCCTTCTTCAATTGCTTATGATCTATGTGTATTAAAGACAGGTTGTAGTTCAACCAATGCCACTAGTTATTTGGGTCTCTGTTCAGAGACATATATGTGTGTCCCCCTTTAAATAAACACCAGTGGTCACAAACTATACACACTGTTATATATTTTGCTTTTTTTCCCCTTAACTTTACCTTGTGGATAATTTCACAACCAGTAGTCAGGTTATATATTAAATACTTTAGTAGATATGCAAACTGTGGGGTTTTTAACCATCAATCAATTTAGTGGGTCATCACAAATTTTAAAAATTAAATAGGCTAGATAATGAGTACATTGCACATGGTAAAATATGCTGTCTTGTGGAATTTTTGTTTCAGTTATAGCACTCTGATGTTTATGAATAGTTTGTCGCGATGAAGAAGGAATTTCTTACCATGGGTCATGGTCAAAAAGTATGAGATGCTGCATTAGTGGAGGGAGCAAGCTCTTTCAACTGCAAGGGTCTGCATGGGGAAGGTGACATTTGAGCTGGGTCTGTAAGGACAGGCACAGGTAGGGCGCGGTAGGGGGAAGGGGTTCTAAGTAGAAGGATCTGTATGAGCAGAGCCATAGATGTGTTGATGCCCTGGTCCAGCTTTGTCTGGTGCTCTCAGCCCCTGTCCTGGGTACCAGGAGCAGGGCTCTCCTGGCCTTTGCAGACACCAACAGAGGCCCTAAGGGGAGACAGGGCCCACCCCTATGAACTGCAGAAGATGTATGAGGTTTACTAGTGCCACTGGCCTGGGTGTGGGGCCACCACAGCCTTCTAACATTGCATTTCAAGATTAAGTTCCCTATAGCCATCGCCAAAGGGGTGGGGCCTGTGCTGCCTAGCTGAGCACCTGGCCACAGCAGAGCTTAATTGTCTGCAGGCAGGCTGGTGCTCGAGAGAGACCAAGAGGAGCAGGGCTGAGCATGCCCAGTTCCTCTTTCTAAGTGTACCTTCAGAGGAGTGTAATGAGAGATGGACAGGGGTGTTACACTGGGAAGTCCCCCCACAGAAACACAAGGAGTGGGGAATATGAGTTCCCCTTGGTGTCAACTGAAGCCACAGCCCACATTTTGAGTAAGTCCCTCCGTGTTCTGGCTGAGCAGGCAAGCACCCTGGACAGTCCATGGGGAGGGGATTTCTAGAATGGGGAGCTTCACTCAGGACATTCCTGTGCCCTGTCTTTAATTGTTTTTATAAACTGGCTCATAAAAACCCAGGAGTGTTACTTATTTGTTCCCAGACTGCATCTGGAATGGGACACTGAGCTTTGCTTAGCAGGCTTCTACAAGCCACAGAGCCAGCCTGAAATGAACTGCAAACATTCACACTTCCTGTCTTGGGAAGAGAAGGCTGTGCTTGGGAAGATGCATGACTCTAGGGCCACTGGGGTGGTGGGAGGCAGGGCACAGTCTGAACCAGGGTGGGAGTTACCCCAGACCACACACTCTGTGACAACTGGGTTGGCCCATAGATCGCCTCTGGGTAGAGGGCGGAGGTTTAAGTCAGGCATTAGTTAGCCCCCAGAGAGACTGGCAAGTGTGCGCACACTGCTGCCTGCCATCCTGGAGTCCCACCTGCCTCCTCGATCTCCTGAGTTTCTGGCTCAAGTGGCATTTAGCAAGTACAAGCCCAGTGACCCAGCCCTTAAATGCCAGAGCTGCAAGGTACTCAGAGGCTATCGACTCCAACCTCCTTGTACACATGAGGAAACCAGGGCTTGGAGAGGGACAGGGTTTCACAACAATCTTTAGCACAGCCAGGACTTGAACCCAGTTGTCCAATATAGAGTCTAGTGCATGATTAAGAACATGGGCCTCGTGGTCCAGACCACCTGTGACTGCAGGGTTGATGACCCTCCCTCCGTAAGCTTCGGTTCCCTCAGTTGATTTCCCTGGGGAATGAGGGCGATGAGTGGCTGTGACTCCCAGTTATCGGGAGGATGGAGTGCGAGTCCTCCACGCAGGCTGGCAGGTGGGAATTGCTCAATGAATGGCCCCTGTGTGTGTCCCCATCATCAGCACTCCCGCCCTGCCCTGCCCCTACCTACGCTGTGTTGCCAATTCGCCGTGGGCTGGAAGGAGGGAGGGACCCAGGCTCCCACCAGCTCTGTTTGCATATTGGACTAAATTTTTGGAAACCTCAGACTACTCTTTGCCTGGAGATAAATCAAGACATCAGAACTGGCCAGGGTCAGCCACCACTCCGCCCGCCTTGCTGCCAGCCTCTGGGCTGTCTGGGGGATGGGAGCAGTGCAGAACGTCCTGAGTTCTGGGGAAGGTGGTGGGGGGGGAGAGAGAAAGCCACACCGATTCAAAGAAAACCTGAGTCTTAGCATATTTAAATAGCAAGGTAGTTTTGCTACTTTCACATTCAAGTCGTAATTCTAGCCAAGTCTTCCCATGAATGTGTCAATACAGGCTGGTCCTGGCTTGCTCTAGTGACTCGATGGGACCCAATTATTAATACAATGAACAGCATCATTTGGCATGTGAGCAATGCACGTACTAAAATATTTCCTGCTTGGTGTTTTCTTAAATAACACCAGTACTTACCCCACACCCTATAAATCCTTTGAAAAAAAAAAAAAAAACATGTAGTGGAAATGTCCCTAAAGCTCAATTTAGAGGATCACAAATTCTAAATCAGTAAAGATTAAATTGATGGCAGATTTATAGTGATAAAACTCGGACATGTATAACCTCTGTGCTTTTATAGACCTTAAAGCAGATCCCAGCAGTGCTTCTCAAACTCTAATGCACGTAAAACTCACTTGCAGGGCTTGCTGGAACTCAGATTCCTGGGTCCCTGTTTGAGAGAGTCTGACTCAGTGGCAGGGCTCGGGTAGTGGTGGCCGTGGTGAGAATTTGCATTTCTGCCAAGCTCCTGGGTGATGCTGGTGTTAATCTCGGCAATCCTTTGCCTAATGCCTGGCTTTGTAGCAAGGTTTGCACAACTACAGTGACTGGTCCACCGCCTCTCTGGTCAGCTCCTTGCCTTTAGAGAGCTCTATCCAGTTGAATGTTCTTCCTTTTATGGAGTCAAGGTCTTCTTTGATTATCAGCCATTGGTTTGAGCTTGGTACCCTGAAACCACATGAATTAGCCACAGAAACACCAGGCAGGTAAGAATTGGGGTTTAAGGTAATAGAAACCAGTGATCTCCCTGGGGACTAAGGGTACTTGCCAAGACCAGGTTCATTAGTTACCTGATCTTGTGCTCAAAGTTGGACCAAGCCTGGCTTTTCATGGCCAGAGATGCAAGTTGAAATTCTGAGAGCTGTAAGGCCTGGGGTTGAGATGACAGAGCCCATGAGTCCCTTCCCTTTGCCCAGTGTGTGTACAGGGCACACATGAGCATGAGCGAGCTGTTGGCCAAGGATCTAGGAGCCTCTCTTTTGACATGAGATCTCAGGCAGCTGAACTCACATCTGCCATCAATTCTGAGAACCTTCGACAAGACTCAGAAGGTTTAGCTTTGAACACATGTGCATGGACAAAACAAGCCCTTCCTTTCTTGATGCTTGACTATAGCCAGACTCAGCTCACTCATGTCCTGGTGTAATTTTTAGGGAAACTGAATCCATGTTGGAACCTCAGGCCAGGCCAATGCAAGGCCACCTGTGAGCTCCATGGGAGATGCCCTGGAGTTGAAACTCAGGAGGTTCATTTTTGATGGGGGGAATGTGGTCTCGCCAGGTCTGCTGGGCCAGCAGTTGACATGAGCTGTAGGCGACCATAGCAGGTAGGACCCATCACAGCATCACAAGAATATGTGAGGGCTCTTCCTTGTGCCCGTGGCCAAGGACCTCAACCCATTTGTCCCATTCTGGGGGAATGAATCCAGTATCAATGTAAGGCCACCCAGGTGCAACAGCTTTAATTTCCAGGGCATGTTTCTCTTTCATTTGTTATACAATTTGTTTCCATCCACCAGAAGAAAACAGAATTCAAAAGCTCATATTCACAAAGACAGAGCAAATGAGTAATGGAGAAACGACTGAAATGACATGACATGAAACAGAGGCGCTTTCTCTGATCGCTTCTGAGCCCAGAAGACATGACCACCACTAATGCGTTTCCTCCCCTGTTGACCCATTTGCTCCTTCATTGACTTCCTTGTGCTTTCATTCATTCTTGGACTAACTTAGTCATCCACTAATCCTCTGATTTATCACTCACTCATCCACCCATCTATCCATCCATCCACTCAACCATCCGCCCCCTCTAACCATCCATCCATCTATTTAACTACCTGCCCGACACACATCCAACCATCCAACCACCCACTCACCCATCCATGCATCTACCCGGTAATCCAACACTCACCTATGCAACTGTCCAATCATTCATCCAATAAACATTTATTAAGGACCCATGTGTGCCAGGTGCTGGGATACAAGTTTAAAAAATAAAGGATTTTGCTTCCAAGGGGCTCATGATCTAGTGGGAGAAACAAACAAGTAAGCAAGGAAGACAAATGCTAGTCCTTAGACATAGGTATGAAAACATACGACTATTTTCGATATCTCCATCTTTGTGTTGAGCCCATGTCTTTCTAGGCCAGCAAAGAACTTCACCTTCAGTCATGATTTGAGGCTTTCATGGCATGTGTGAAGATTCTTGGGGCTGTGGACTGCCAGGGCTTGTGGGGAGGAACCATCTGGCTCTTAAGTTATATGTCCTCTCGGGTTTCAGCTGAGCCCTCCTGGGGTCTGACTGCCCTGACCCTGACCTGACGATTTTCTGCATGGGGCACAGTCCCTCTCTGCAAGGCTGCCATGGCTGCATCGGCCTAAAGCAGTGATTTCTCACCTTGGCTGCCCATTTATATCACCTGGGAGCTTTTAAAAAATACTGAAGTGTAGGCCCCACCCCAGACCAATTAAATCAGAAACTCCAAGAATGGATCTGAGCTTTAACATTTTTATCTATAACTCCCCCCCAGAGTATTCTAATGTGTAGACAAGGGAGAAAGAACAGTGAGGAAGCCCACACCACCCACCCTTCCCCTGTCCCTACCTTTCTTCTCCATTCCTCCAACCTGGGCAAGGGGACAGGGTGTCTTTTTTTAGTCTGGGCATAATCTCTTCCCTTTTGTGTTTCTGAACAAGCTACTTTGTCTCTGTCCCAAATCTGTTCCTACTAAAATGCAGGATGGTCAGAAATTCTGCTTTCTGCCCAGCCCCATTCCTTCTTGGGCAATGCATTTAGGAAGATCTGCTTGAATGAGGGCAAAGGAAAAGAGGGAAAGGGGAAGGACAGGGAGAGAGGAGGAGAGGGAGACGAGATTGATTTCTAAATATCCCGCCAGTCAGATGGTTGCAGCAACCAACGCCAAAGGTGCGATGGATGCAGGACTGGCAGGGAAAGGGGAGAGCACAGGCGGGTGTGCTTAGTCCTGAGGCCACTTTAAGGAGTCAGGAGAGGTGACTTTTGTGGAGGAGGAGGTAACCGGTGCAACGAGAACCTGAGTCTCTGCCCGACGCCATTAGCTCCCATTGCCACACTGTCCCTGGTGTGCCCGATCCTCGCCCAGGCTCTGAGCTTCTCTAGGGTGAGGACAATGTCTGTTCATTGCTCTGTCCCTGGAGTCTGGCTCAGGGTCTGCCCCGGAGATGGCACTTGTGGAACATGCCTTGGGTAAGGGGAGGCGGGGAGGGCGGGTTGGCTCTCTGGCAGAGGGCCCTGTGCCCTGCCAGCCCCCCCAGCGGGCAGAGGCAGAGCGTGGCCCTCACCCGAGCCGTCTGTCACCAGGTGGTGTGGATCACGGCCACGCTGCCGTACCTGGTGCTGTTCGTGCTCCTGCTTCACGGCATCACGCTGCCCGGCGCCTCCAACGGCATCAACGCCTACCTGCACATCGACTTCTACCGCCTAAAAGAGGCCACGGTCAGTGCCCAGTGACCGCCCAGCCTTGGGCCGGGCGTGGGGGAGGCTTCTCGCGGGCAGGTGGCGACAAGATCGGGTCCCAGCTCTGCCATAAATTTTCAGTGTAGCCTTGGACAGGATCCTTCCCTCTCTGAGTGTCAGCTTCCCCATCTGACGGGTCCGATCTGCACCTGACAGTCTCCACAAGCCTGTCCAGCACTGACAGTCTGGGACACCGTGGTCCCCTTTGGTGGCCTTCACTGGCTGCTCCTTGCAGGAAGAGCAGCGCCCTGTGAAGGGGACGTGATGTCCTGGGTCCTCACTCCTGTCCTGTGCCCACGGCTCCCTAGCCCACCCCAGCCCTGCTTCTGCCTTCTGGTCCCCAAACCTGGCCTTTGTCCCCATCCCATTATGTCAGCGTAAGGAGTGACCTCAGCCTCCAGGGAGACCTGCACCTGCCAACTCCAACAGCCTCCTCTAGACACTGTCCTGCCCAGAGGCCCAAATGACTATGGAAGTGGGGTGAGACTGGTCGAGCAGCGAGGGTGGGATCAGAGACGATTGTGGAGGTCCCCATGGCCTCGAGCATCTTCAAATAATAGCTAAGCTTGGCCTCCTCGCAGGGCTCACTCCCTGAGAACTCGACATTTTCCCACAATTCTCAAGGGTTTCTTTATTTGAACCCACAATAATCTCACACTTTATTTGAACCCACAATAATCCTGGCAGGCAGGAGCAGCATGGGATTAGGAGGGAGGCATCCCAGTATGTTCTCCCCATGCTTATGACGTCACGGCACATGCTACACGCTGTAGACCAGTGACCAAGAGAAACCCGACTTTCTCGGTAACTGTCAGAAAGATAACAGAGCACAAAACACGAATCAGCCTTGCAAATTGCAAATTGCAAAACAAATCAGGCTTCTGTTTGTTCCGCGACTGCTTACCTCTCCCAGTTTTTTCAGATGCGTAGAAACTAAGCCCTTAGTGTGGTCGCAAAGAGCAGATCTACCTTCCCTCAGCAGATTGCTCCTCTTGCTAAGCTCTCTGTTTGAAAAGTTGGGGAAACCGAGAAAAACACTAGTAGGGGGAAGACAGACATCTCTCGTATTCTGAACGCCAGCTCTTAGTCTGAGTGAGCCAGGCAAAACCATCCCCACTACACCTGCGGAAATTACAATACAAGGAGGTGAAACTGACCAGGGCTAGGCCACGAGGCAGGGAGGTCGGAGAAGGACTCAGATCCCCAGGCCTCTGGCCATGTGCTTTCATCACTCAACAGATGGAATGGGTCAGCCCCACTGGCTCCCACCAAGTTACCCCTGTCTGTGGGCTGGTAGGAGCCTGCTAGGAACCATCATCCCTCTCTGAAGGTGTCGTCTCCGTAACTCCTGAGATGGTGATGACCTCTTTGCTCTTGCGCTGTCCACATTCTAGCCCAGGGCTTTCAGTTTATTAACTTTCTTTGAAAATCAGGCCATGAAATTGAGCCAGTGAGTTCCTCCGGGGTGAGCTCACTCATGACTACCCAGGGCTGGGAGATACTAGGGAGCCCCCGCCTCTCTCCATGGCTGTCTTGCGTGGGCTGCAAGGGAGGGAGCGGCTAGGGCTGCCCATCTCTGCTTCAGACCACGTTTCCCCGGGTCTCAGAGCACCCCTGGGGCTTCCAGCCCTCCCAGGTCACCCGGAAGGTCCTCCAATGCCGTAGGGGCCGAGGGTGATGGCTTTTGTCTGCGGGTTGCAGGTGTGGATCGATGCTGCAACTCAGATATTTTTCTCCCTGGGGGCTGGATTTGGAGTCCTGATTGCGTTTGCCAGTTACAACAAATTCGACAACAACTGCTACAGGTAAGGTCCTTCTCAGAGCTCTGGGAAGCTCCGAATCCCGGACGTCCACCCTTGGGAGGGTGGGAGGGAGGGCATGTCTGGAAGCCAACTCTCCTTGACGAGCCAGGTTTTCTTCCTGTGGACATCCCGGCATTCTCTGAATTCTCACATGGCCTCTGGGGTCCCCATAAACATATTTCATCCCGGGTGTAAGGTGAGAGCTGGGAGGGTTGAGGCTGCTGGCGCTGGGGGACCGTGGGGATGGGTGGCTGGGACAGACGAGCACTGCCAGCCCTGCAGGCCCCGTGCTGTGGCGACTTCCGACAGAGGCACACACTCGGGCCGACCCCACCCCTCTCTCTAGGCCACTGGAGGCTTACGGCAGCAGCATGTGTCTTGCGCAGGAGAGAGTAGCATGAATGCAAACCGGCAGGACAGGCCGTGGGGAGGGAAGGGAGCAGGGTGATTGGCAAGAGCACGCAGGTGAGTTTGAGGTGCGCCTTGGAGGACAGTTAGGGTTACACCAGGCAGACAGGGAGCGGCTGGCGTGCGTGGGCTGGGGCCAGCAGGGGCAGAGGCAGGAAGGGGTGTGTCCTTGGCCCAGCTGGTTGACTGGTTTGATTTGTTCAGGGAGTACACGTTGGGGGGCATAGAAGGTAAGTCTAGAAGGAAGGTTGGGTCCCCTTAGCAAAGCTCTGGAATGCCAGGGCTAGGAGCTGGGAGGCACTGGGGAGCCACAGAAGGTTTGTTAAAGAAGGAGGCTGGTGACACGATTCCCAAACAGGAGTTTGGCAGCAGACTCTGGTATCAGACTGTCCCGGCCATGAGCAGTTGACTCACTCCCTGCACCAGTGACGGGCAGTTTGGGGACCACGCAGCAGGCGGCATCTGAAGTCGGCGTGGCATTCAAGGCTGGTCCGGGCTGCAGGCCCCATAGGTGGTCCAGCGGCGCATGGGCAGGGCTGGGGGAGTCGGGGGACTCGGACTGACAGCGCTTCCTCCCCAGGGACGCCCTGCTGACCAGCAGCATCAACTGTATCACCAGCTTCATCTCTGGGTTCGCCATCTTCTCCATCCTGGGGTACATGGCCCACGAGCACAAGGTCAACATCGAGGACGTGGCCACTGAAGGTGAGCGCACAGACCACCTCGGCCCTCGCCGCTGGGCAGGGGCGGAGGAGCCCACCCCATTCCTGGCTGCGTGGCTCTCTGTGGAGGTTTGCAAACCGCCCATTGGATGGGCTTTCCCTGGACGCTGTCCGTGGGAATTCCAGGCAGTCCTGGGCCTGGGCCTGGGCCTTGTAGAAGAACCTTCCTCCGAGTCAGGCCAGGAGGACCAGATTTCGGAGAGTCCACTCTGTGCAGCCCCCGGGCTAAGCATGCGGCATCCCTCCATTCGCTTCTCACTGGGCCGCCAGGCAAGTGTTTATGGACCCACTTGAAAGATGAGAAAACTGAGGCTCAGGCTGAATAAGTTGCCCAGCGTCACCCAGGTAGTGAGCAATGGTGCCAGCATTCACACCCCAGTCAGCCCTCTTTGGGGCTTGTGTCCTTCCCCGCTGCTTCCTTTAGTCTCATGGCCACCAAGAAGCCGAGACCTGGGGACTTTGAGGACTGTGAGCTTTTGAGAATGACGGTGGATCCCTGGGAGTGTGGGACGGGGGTTTGCAGTGTGGAGCAGCTGTCCAGGCAAGGCCCTGCTCGCTAGCCGGGATGTTTGAGGCCGCCTTCTTTGAGGCACAGCTCAGCTACAAGTCTGTGCTGGCTTCGTCCGCCATCTCCAGACCCTCAGTCTGCTCTGCCCACGTGGGCCTAAGTGTCACAGGGCTGGGCTGGAGTTGACGGGGCCTCAACGTGCTTCACTCTTCAGCTCAGAGCAGTAGTCCCGGCCATTGATGAGGTCCTTGATGTTCCTTACAGGAGCCGGTTTAGTGTTCATCCTGTATCCAGAAGCCATTTCTACCCTGTCTGGATCTACATTCTGGGCTGTCGTGTTTTTCATCATGCTCTTGGCCCTGGGCTTTGACAGCTCCGTGAGTGCCCCTGCTCAGGATGCCACCCCTGACCTCCTGGGCCTGAACCCCAGCCCCCTCCCCCCCCACACACACACACTGTACTCAGCCTGAAGTTCCCACCATTCCAACCCCTGATTAGTAGTTGTTTCCAGAAGGCCCTATTTAAATGCAAACAAGGGTGGGAGTCCTCAGAAAGATAAGACTCAGGCCAAAGCCAAGAACCACAGGAACCCCACTGGCATTATGGAAATCCAAATCAGAAAAGACTTCAGTTAAGCCAGCCCAACACTCTTCTCTCGACCAGATGGGGAAGCTGGATTAGGAGGGGACGCGGCTAGAATCTTGTTCTCTAACCAAGCACTTCCCCATGTTGATGCTAAAATAGCATCAACAACCAGCAAAAACATTTGAACCTCAGTAGTCTCTTACATCCTTTTATTTTACCCACATGTAAGATGAAATTTACTGTCATCCTTTTTTAAACCTGTGTCCACGCTTAGTACGTCATGCCTGGAGGTTTGCAAAAAGTCTCAGGACTAATAAATCGGTTTCCTCTCACTGCCCTTTCCTTTCAACCGGCAGATCTGCCAGGGGCAGTGTGTTGAGAAGGATTCTGAGGCTGCTTCCAGGCTCACAGGGGAGAACACTGATCGCGATTCACAGTGTCTGCCAGGAGAGGAGAGGAGCAGGGTGGCTTGTGTGCATCTTGTCCACCTCAAAAGGGAGGGATTTAGGATGTGACACCCTTTCAGATTCAGAGCCCAGAGTTTGAGGTGACCGCTTTGCTTGATAATTAGAAATGCAGCCAAAATCCTTATCAAAAGTTGCTGCCGGAAGTTTCCAGGCTAGAAGCTCTCCTGCAGCGGCTGGTTGCAGGGGCCCTTCTGCGACGCAGGTATCACACGGTGTTTGGCCTCGTACGCTTTTCACTCCCCATCAGCTCACCTGTACCCACGCGGGCTGAGGGCGTGGGCAGGAGACAGGTGATGAGGGGAAGCGGAGCTCACCTGAGCCTCCACGCGATCCTGCAGAGTTTCTCAGTTCTAACTTTGAGAGCAGGACAGAAATGGGATGAGAGGGTGGGGAGCAAGGCAGCAGTCGGGGTACATGAGTCCCGGGCTGCGGGAGGCCCAGGTACCCCAGGGCCTGGGGCTGAGGTCCAGGGAGCCCCTCATGCCTGTCCCCCACCCCACCTGCTCCCCCCAGATGGGAGGCATGGAGGCTGTCATCACGGGCCTGGCCGATGACTTCCAGATCCTAAAGCGACACCGGAAACTCTTCACATTTGGAGTCACCTTTGGCACCTTCCTCCTGGCCCTGTTTTGCATCACCAAGGTGAGGAGGGGCTGGGCCCTGGGTCAGCCAAGCTTCTGGGGCTGCAGAACTGGAACTGGGGGGTGAGTAGGGGCTGCACTGAGCTTAAGGAATGCGGTTCGACAGGGCACCCTCCCCCCGGGGCCTGTTCCCTAGGGCCAGGCCCTAGAAGTCTCTCCTTCCACCCCTGAGCCTGACAGTTCCCAAGCTACCCTCTTAGCTGCTTGGTGATTTGACAGGCAGCAAAAGTCCCTTTGAAACTGTCTCATTCTTTGCTGGCGGAAGCAGCCACCATGCACCTGGTGACTTCAACAACATCAATACAATAGCCCCATAGTCCTGCCACCTGCATTGTCAAACAGGGTTCTGGGCAATGGGACAGAGGACAGGGAAGAGTTGATGGGCACGACAGTCGGTGCCCGTTTCTGGCCGACGCGGCCTCAGGCTGTTTCTCTGCGTGGCCCAGGGCGGAATCTACGTGGTGACTCTGCTGGACACCTTTGCGGCGGGCACCTCCATCCTGTTTGCTGTGCTCATGGAAGCCATCGGCGTCTCCTGGTTTTACGGTGCGTGAGAGTGTGCACAGGCTCCCGCCCCCAGTCTTCCTGGAGCCTGTTCCCCTGGAGATGCGAAGGAGCTTTCATTTCCAGGACAGCCACTAACGTTCCAGAATGGAGCAAGTCGCTTACTAGAATAAAGGGTCTGCTCCCCGTCCTCAGCTTGTGTTAGGATGAACTCCCTTTAATGGACTGCAAAGGCAGCCGGTGTCAGCCTCTTAAGAGAAACCCCCAAACCATGCAATCCATTCCAACACAGGGTCACCAGATTTAGAAAACAGAACACAGGACCACCCCGGCTAAACTTGACTTTCAGACACACAATGAGCAATTCTTTAGTAATAGTATTTCCCCAAAATTGCATGGGGCATAATTACACTAAATTTTTTTTTTCATTGTGTATCTGAAATTCAAACTTAACTTGGTGTCCCCTGTGTTATCTGGCAACCTTATTCTAGACCAGAACTAAGGGACCATTTCACACACGTCAAATGTCTTGTCATTGTCCGCTTCCCCCCAGCGTCATGTTCTCACTGCCCGAGACCACTCAGAGAGAGGTTGCCACGGAAGAGCCCGAGCCCTGTGTCAGACTGAAGGCAGGGCAATGCTGTACGACTCACAGCCGCTGCTATCCTCAGAGGAGCAGTGAGCGAGAGGAAAGAGCCAGGCCTGCATGGCTCTGTGGCCTGGGGCCAGTCCCCTCACCCCTGGGAGCCCGGTTTCCCTCTGACAAGTGAACGGAGGTGGCACACGGAAGGCAACGCTGTCCTGGAGTTTGTCCCCTCCTTTGTTCTGCATCTGCAAAGTGTCCCCAGGTTGCCGACGTCCCGGGGGGTCAGCACCTGGCCCCACTGCCCTGCCCCCCCCACACCAGGCCGGAAGCTCAAGGGAGGGGCCCCTGTGACCCCCCCCCCCGTGTGTGCGCAGGTGTGGACAGGTTCAGCAACGACATCCAGCAGATGATGGGGTTCAAGCCGGGCCTGTACTGGAGACTGTGCTGGAAGTTCGTCAGCCCTGCCTTCCTCCTGGTGTGTCGCGCGGGCGGGGAGCCGGGGGGAGGGGCTGGGCTGGATCCAAAGGCCCCGGGTCACACAGGACACTCGGGAGGCTCAGCCCTGCTGATACGCGACAGTCGGCCTCCGCCTAAGTGGGGGTCTTCAGCCTGGGCGCCACAGGTCCCTGGGGGGTCGTTGTGCCAGCTCCAAAGTCACCGTCCTGCTCTGCCTTCTTTCCTGCACGCTGTTCTCGCCGCCGCCCCCAGTTTGTGGTGGTGGTCAGCATCGTCAACTTCAAGCCACTCACCTACGACGACTACATCTTCCCGCTCTGGGCCAACTGGGTCGGCTGGGGCATCGCCCTGTCCTCCATGGTCCTGGTCCCCGTGTACGTCGTCTACAAGTTCCTCAGCACGCGGGGCTCCCTTCGGGAGGTGAGTTCCGGGCTGGCCGTGGGGGACAGGGCGGGAGGGGGACAGGGCGGGAGCGGGACAGGGCAGGAGGGGGACAGGACGGGAACACCTCCTGAGTCATTCCCCTTTGGGGTGAGAGGGGGAGACAGAAGACACAGATGCTAGGGTCAGATGGACCCACCTCCACCATTAGCCAAGTTCTTTGCCCTGCCCGAGCCTCAGTGTCCACATTTGTGCCCGGAGGGTAAAACTATTAATATGTGTCGTGAAAGGACAAAGGGAGTGGCGAGCGCAGTGCCTGGCACCTGGGAGGTGCTCAGTTCCCTCCTGCCCCGACTATTACTGATGTGAGAAGCAATGCTGGGCACTGGAGCTCACTGAGGATTGCTTAGACAGACTGCCTTACCGGGGCTCACTCCTGTGCCCCCTTCTAAGGTTTGCCATGTCCCCACGTGTCCCGGCTTTCCCTGTCGAAGCCCACTGTGACCTGGTCATGTTGGTATTTACCTGCCTCCTTGGGCGCCAAATAATCTGATCTGCCTAAACCAAGAGTTTTCTGAAATATATTTCTTCTTTTACCTGTCTGCATTATTATGTGTGTGTATATGGACATATATGTGCAAATATTTATACATGTATACACTTATCTAGATATTTGAGAAATGGTGCCCTTTATTCTGAAGTTATGTCATTCCTGATATTTGGTTGTTAAAATGCCCTTTTTTTTTTTTTTATAAATTCACGGCAACAGTCTTTTCCTCATATCCTTACTTTGCAAAACAAAGGTTTCATTCCTTCATTCTTCTATCCACTCACTTGCCAGGTATTTATTGAGAATCTACTATGTGCCAGGCAGGGTTCTAGGCACTGGACAAAAATCCCTGCCTTTAAGGAGGTCACATTCTAATGAAGGGACATAAACAAAATGAGGGCGCGAGAGGGTGAGGCCATGCAGGAGCTTAGGGAAGAGGGTTCTAGAAAGACAGCCCCTGCGCCCATTTTTTGTGATGTTTCCTGCCTGTGAAATCCCAAAGTCTGGGGGCCTCTGGCCTGAGCCCATGGGAGGGTCAGAGTTCAGTGAACTCATCCTGGACATGGGAACAATGACCTAAGCCTTCTGTTCTTCTCACCCCAGGAGTGGGGACATTTCTTATTATCTAGTGACCAGCCACTGCCTTAGGACACAGGCCCTGAGTCCCTGCATGTGACACCCACGGGGCCTTCCCTGGTCCCCCACAGGGCCAGGTGCCTCCTTCCACGCTCTCACTGTGCACGTGATCCAGTCTGGGGTTGAAATAACCTCTGCGCGTGTGTGGTCAGTGCCAGTCCCTTACGTGGGCTGTGACCCCCCCACCCAGAGCAGAGACGGCACAGGTCCCCTCAACTCTGGACCCGCAGAGCCCAGCCTGGTGTCTGACTCAATGTGAACTGGCCAGCTCCACCAACAAGGGGGGGTTGTCATGCACGGACCCCGCACGCTGTCCCCGTGGGGCTTCAGGGCCAATTACTGGGTGGCCCTTATCTGGGGGTGTTCGCCAGGCCTCTGGGAGGTGTCCCCGGTCCAAGCTGAGGCCTCCTTCCCGTCTCCCTCCTCACAGAGACTGGCCTATGGCATCACACCGGAGAACGAGCACCACCTGGTGGCCCAGAGGGACATCAGGCAGTTCCAGGTAGGCACAGCCTGGGCTGCTGGGGTTGGGGAGTGGGAGCAGGTCCTGGCCACTCCCTGCTGTGCGCCGCCCACGCAGGACCACCCAGCCAGAAAACTAGAAGCCTGTGGCCAGAGCCCATGGGGTGTGGTGTCGGGTCGCAGTCGGGGAGGGGCCTGTCCCCTGTCTTCTATCAGGCCCTGGCTGCCCCTCTGCTACTTGGTCCTGCAATGCTAAATGCCTAAACCTTCCTCTTCTACCTCTATGAGTTGTCACCATGGAGTGCCACCAAACTAGGCTGGGAATTTCTTATCTGGGAGGAAGAGCTGCAGGTGCATCAGTACCAGACTGACCTGAGCCCACCGTTTCCCCTGCAAACGTGGGGGATGGGGAGACTCCCGGTGGGCCCAGCACTTCCCTTCAGACTCACCGGGTCCCTTTGGGAGGACTACTTTGCCCTTTCTGGGCCTCAGGGACAACAAGGGAATCATCCTGCGTGTCTGCTGAGGTCTGTGGCGGGAGGGGTGTTTCCCTGCTCCCCTTCCTCACTGCCCGCTGAGCCGGCCCTTCCCCTCCCAGCCCCTGCGGCCTGGGCCGGAGGTAAAGGCCGCGTGTCTTTCTCTGCAGCTGCGACACTGGCTGGCCATCTGAGCCTGGCCTGCGGAGGAGGAGCCCCACCTGCCCACGTCCAGGCCAAAGGCGTCTGCTTCGCTCGAGCCCCGGACGCTGTCCCGGGACCCCTCTCCCGGGAGGTGCCCTTTTCCGACGCCTCCTTCCTCTTTTCCCAGTTACGAAATGATTTAGTGACTCTGGTTTTTGTTCACCTTCTGTTCATCTGGCCTGAGGGCCGTGGGCTTGGAGGATGGCTGAGAGGAGGAGAGGAGGGAGCAGGACAGACGATTTCTGTCGGGCCCTTCTGTTTTGGGGAGTCTCCCCCTCTGGGAGCCCGCCCAGGCTGAGGTCCACGGCTTGGGCAAAATTCCCCACTGCGTTCGCTTGTACTTTGGATCACAGAAGAGATTCTCAGTCCACCAGATCAGAGAGAGGATGGGCTCTGAGTCAGACACCAAAAAAAAAAAAAAATCAAAAACCAAACGAACAGCCCAGCTCATTTAGTGAGGGGCGAGCTCAGACTTCCCCTCCCTGGCTCACCCCAGTCAGAGCTCTGGGGTCTGAACGTCAGTCTGGGAGTTTGGGTTCCTTTGTCCCTAAAATGAAGTCAGTGGGTAGATGCTTTGGGGGGTCTTGAGCAGAAACCGTCACAGTTAATTTTCACTCTGGCTAATTTGAGTTTGATTTGTGCGTGTTCTGGAACATTCTTCTGGCTTCTCGTGGTCAGACGGTCCGGAGCTGTGGGTGTCGAGGGGAGGGGTGTCAATGGGCCGCGGCGAGCAGGTGCTGCGACGGCCCCTGAGTCGGGCCGGCTGGCGGCCACCGGCCGGGCAGGAGCCCAGAGGCCCATCCGCGGCCCCTGAGACCCGCCGGGGGCACCTTGGGCAGGGACCCAGGGCGCCAGATGTGTGTCTGCACCCGGGGACTCTACGCTGTCCCCGTGGGGCCAGGTGGGTGCCCGCGGGCAGCCTGGCAGGTGTTGTGTTTATTTATTGTTCATGGAAGCCTGCAAAGCCTTTCCCCCGGAACCCTGCCCGGCGGCCCAGGGCGCATGCGCAGTATCCGCGCGGGTGGCCGGCGTCTGGGTTACTCCCCACGCAGGCGCGCGGTGCTGCCCCCTGGCGGTGCTGGCGGGGAGTTTGGTTCAGTAAGAGAAACGGGTCGTGGTTTGCTAAGTTGGTGGCATCTTTTAGGGGTTTCTGTTTACGGTTTGAGTCTGTTATGCCTTGTTGGGAAGGACTGTGGGAGCCCCTGCTGCAGAATCTTGGGCCAAGATAAGAGGGGCCACTGCACTGACACCGGGACTGTGGGGAGACGCATCGAGAAGGCACTTTGCCTAAAACTAGGATGTCGCTGAGCCGGAAGGATCCTGTAGGAGGAGGGCAAGCCGGGGGCAGGGAGCTGGTGGTGTCTCTGGTGGCCCAGAGATTGCCTCTGAATCACGGTCCTCAGGTCACTGATTGGAGAAAAGAGGGACAATCAGGAGACTTTTGATCTGTCCATATACAAATGTCAGCTGAAGGCCTGAGACGGCCAAGTGGCAGGTGTCATAGAGCCTTGTGAAAGGTGAGGCCCAAGCATCCAATCAGGTGAGGGTCTGGGCCCTGTCAGTGACTTCAAATCCTCCCATAAAAGGCGATTCCTCTCTAATTGTTACATTTGTTTTTTTTTTTTGTTTTTTGGTTTTTTTTTAGTTTTACAAAGCACTTTTACCCGTATTACCTCCCATCTTCCTAGTGAGGACTGTGGGGCTAGCTTCTATCTCCCCATTTCCCCGGCGAGAAAACCAAGGTCCAGAATGTCAGTTGCTCTTGCGCAAGGTTTCTCAGCTCCTAAGAGATGGAGGTGGACTCTCAATTCAAATCCCCCATCTCTCAGCCCTGAGCACTTTCAAATTCCCTGCACAATGTGGTTCACCCCACCCAGGGCTGTCATAAAAAAGAAAAATCCATCCAAGTGGCAAAGGAGCATTTCTTAGCAAAAGAACAAAGTGTTGGAAGAAGGGAAGAGAGGAGAGAATGGCATTTATTCCCCTCTAAGTGGTTGCCAGGGAGGAAATTATTTAGCTGCTGTCTTTTGCTGAAAACACTCTTTTTAGAACAGTTGGGCATGAAAAGCTGAGTCTACTTGGCTGAGATAAGAGCAGACAGTCAGAAAGCTCCTGTCCTTTAGAACGGGGCACACTTCAACGACAGCCTGCAGTTTCCCCTTTGCCATCCGCCTGTGGCCCCTTCTGTCTCCAGACACTTGTCCCGGGGCGAATGGGAGCCGTGGTGCTAGCTGAACCTACACCGAACCAAAGCAATGGTGCTGCCTTGCGGCGGATGTTGGCTCCTAAGTCTGGGGAAGGGGAGGAGCCTGGCCCCAAGTCCAGGCCCCTGGGCAGGTGGGGTACCTGGAAAGCCCTCAGAAGTCCTGGGGAGGTGCCGGGAGACCATGTGGGTCCACCTTTCCATCCACGTAGAATGGAGATGGATTATGTGCTTTATCACAAGTAATGTCTGACTTCTTTTTTTGTGGCCTTTTTTTAATAGCAGAAGTCACCCGGGACAAGGGTGCTCCTGCGTACTGTATGTGACACTTGACACTTTTGATATTTTTACCAGGTTTTTAAAGAATAATTATTTTCCATGAAATGTATAATATCGGTTTCAGACCATCACGTTCACATCTACTGAATGTCTAGTTCTTTAGCACCCTCCTGTTAGTCTTCATTCCACATGCAAGGGAGACAAAGGAGAAGGGGACCTGCCAACGCTTGCCAAGCATCCTGCTGAACAAAAGTCCCCAACACTGCCTTAACTCCCAGAGGGAGTTCCCACCCAAGTCGGAGCCAGTGTCCTGCCATGTGATCTGTTTTCAAGCCTTGCCAATGTGAGACTGAAGGATTCTTACCAAAGAAGTCATTTCTCAGTAATGAAGCCCATTGAATTCACTTCATCTGTTTGCTTATTATTATTTTTGAAAGCCACAGAATGGAGAAGAACAGAGAGGGTGTGTGGCGTGGTGGAAACAGCACAGCATTTAGAGTTGCACAGACCTGGGTCTGCAGCTGACTAGCTGAGTGGCCAGAGAAAAGTGGCTACATCTTTTGGGACTTCAAAGCTATTTGTTTGTAAAATCAGGGATTGGATCAGATAATCGAAGGTCCCATTTAGTTAAAAACAAAACAAAACAAAACAAAACTGTATGTCTCCATAACAAGGTTCCTGTGATAACTTTACTTGCAGGAAGTGTATCACCTTACTGTAGGAATTTCCAAAATGATCTGGTGACCAATGACTTATTGAGCAGAGAAATGTCAGATTTCTGGTCTTCAGGACTTTGATTTTTCTGGGCATTCAGTAGTTTCAATTGCTCAGTTATTTTTTTAGCTGATGCCAGAAATACTTGATCTGAAAAAAAATTTCCAACCCCTTTGTTTTTTGGCTTGTTTTGAGGAATTGGAAGGTTGTAACACGTTGCCATGCCCTTGTCAGTCCCGGGGTCCACAGCTCTGCAGGAAGGCGACAGAGCTGTTCCTGCAATCACAGAAGCCACTGACTCATTGGTGAATGTGAAGTCACTTTTGGGGTGCCTGCCCTCGTCCCTCTGTCTCTCCGCTTCTGTGTACGACGTAACGGCTGTTTCAATGGTGTCCTCTCTGTGTCACGGACTGTTCGGATGTCATGCAAATGTCTGTGTTTTGTTTGGATTTATTTTAAAAATTGTTCTCTTCATGGGAAAATCCATGTACAGAATAATAAAGGATACTTCCTGTGCCACATATCTGGCAATGCAGTTGTGATGCTTTCTGCCATGAAGGTAAAATGCTATGAATATTGTGTCAGGCAGGGGGGTTGTCTATGACCAGCTTTCAGCTAGTGAAAAAGAGCTTCTGGTCATAGTGGCCAAGCTTTCAACTAAAGAACTCTTTTTATAATCTATGCAACAGGAGACTGGAAGGGTTAAATCTGTAATCCTAGCCCTGAGATTGACACATTTTTATTTAAATAAAAAGTGGGTACCAAGTGAACTGGTTTAGTTTAGTTTTCATTTCTAAGGCTGAATTTCAAGGGTGTCAGAGCCTCCAGTTAGATCGAATTAAACCTTCAATGGCTCCCTACTGCCTACAGGATAAAATGCACACTTCATAGACTGCACAATTTGGTGCATGTGTGAATTTTTCTGGGAAGAGGGTTATATTCACACTTAGACCTTTAGAACTGAGTATTGTCATTGTCTGGGGAAGATGTGAACTTACATGTAATTATTTTTAGTGCAGATCATCAAGTAGATGGTAACACCTATGTAAAGGAAGTATCGTTAAATAACCGTTCAGTCAATGAGTTCAAATATGTAAAGGCTGTCAGAGAGTGTATGATGGGCCCAAGTGCTGAATTGAGGCCAATGGTAGGAAGTCCAGGAAGACAGCTTGCAAGATTAGACCTGAACAGAGAATGAGGTGTTGCTGGAAGTAGTGAGATCCCCAGCACTGGAGGTATGCAAAGAGATAGCAGTCAATGTCTCATGCGGAGGTGGGAAGAGGGGTGTGATGTCAGGTGGGAATGGGGGAGAGAGGTTGTATAACCTCTCAGGTCCCTTCCATTTGGAGCTCCTGGGATTCTTTTTGGACAGTCACAGTGCAGCCTTGCCCAGCAGCATTTAGGAGATGCAAATATGTTTATGCCAAGGATCTTGGGGTAGGGAGTGGTTTGGCCTGTCAAGTTGGAGTTGGGCAGACATCCCAGAGAGGCTATTATCATCACTCTGTTTCAACCCACGATTGGAGTTAGAGTTTATTATAGCGAATCAGACAAGAGGCAGCTGCGTTGCCAGCACTCCCTTGTGCATGCTGACATTTCATGAGTTGGTGGCCCTGTGGGAGCAGGGGAAGGAGGCCGGGCCAGAAGGGGAAGGGCAGCTCCCTTGGGGGTGGTGGGGGATCTACCACCCCACCCTAGGCCCGCAACATGGTGGGAGAAGCCAGAGAAACACAGATGAGCCTCACGGTTGGCACTTGGTTGGGCTTTTGAATTTTCCCAAATTTAATTGCACCCCTGTCTTACTTTGGGAGATTGGATAGCTTCATTTTTATTTCCTTCCAAAAGATGTTGTCTCTCTCTAAGCCTCGATTTGTTCATCTGTATAGTGGATCATCAAAACTAAGTTTTCATGGATGGGCTTCAACACATTTCAGAACCTTCCGAAATTCAATGCCAGTTTTTGTTTGGATGAATTCATGTCCAGTTTTCTAAGAAGAAGTTCCATACATTTATCAGATTCTCAAATGTTGTGAACCGGCAGTTAAACTAGAGCTGGGTTTGAACCCCGGATCTAACTCTTCCTGCTGTGGAATCTTGGGCAGGTTCTGTAAAACTTCTGAGGCTTTCTTGTTTCTGAAGAGTGGGGAAAAGTTCGCCATAAAGGAGTCTTCAGAAAGACGAAGCAAGATGATGTACACTTAAGAGCACCCTCTCTGGAGCTGCAGTGCCAGGATCTAAGGCCGGGTTCCATCACTCCACAGTGGGAACCCACAGGGAAGTTACTCAACCCCTTTGCCTCAGTTTATCATCTGCAAATGGGAATGGCAATAGTGACCACCTGGTAGGGTGGTGGAAGGATTAAATGTCACTGGTGTGAACTTCCCCTTGTAGTTGCCTTTGATCTCTGACCTACATCTCCACTCACTTGATGGTAGCAATCCCCTATCAATGGGGAGGAGGGACATGGCTGGGCTGACAGGCGAGCTATACTCACTCACAGATAAGGAAGAATACGACAGTCCTGACATGTGATATGAGCTGCAGAGTCAGACCAGGAAGCATCAGAGACAAGATTGGGGATCCAGGGATCCACGATTACGTTTACAGAGACCCTACTCTTGAGTTTGGAATTGGAAAAGCAATGTAGCACAAGGAGTATATGACTTCATTAAAACACTCAGTTGAAAGAATTGGGCCAAATCCCAGCCACACAAGGCATGGATTCCCAGCAGGCCGAGGCCTTGGAAGCATCAGCACCTTGGACAAGGCAAATTGTCTGATCGGACATTGAATTATTAATAGCAAACAGACTGGCTTATCCTGTGTCAGTTACTGTTCTTAGTGCTTTAATGCAAAAATTTTGCACTAAAGCAAAATTTTTTTGCTTAGTGCAAAAATTAACTGATTAAATCTTCCTAATGACCCCACAAGGTGGTTTTGTTATCCCCATTTACAAATGGGGGAAACTGACACACAAAGAGATGAAATAACTTACTAGTTCTTGGAACAGGGATTTGAACCCAGAAAATCTGACTACAGTCTGTGCCTTTAACCACTCTGATCTGCCCTCTTTCTTGGTTCCCAGGCACACAGGCATAATATGATAAAGCTGGTATGGAATTGGGTCCTTCTCTACTCCCAACACCCTCTTCAATTACAAATACATAAACTTAGGTGGAAGGAATTCTCTCAAACTCAATCTGCGTGCTCGCTTCGGCAGCACATATACTAAAATTGGAACGATACAGAGAAGATTAGCATGGCCCCTGCGCAAGGATGACACGCAAATTCGTGAAGCGTTCCATATTTTAAAAAATTAAAAAAAAAAACAAAACAAACAAAAAAAAAAAA